ATGTATACCATTAATACTGGGGCTATTTCCGTGTGAGTCAAAATGTATTAGTACTTCAGCTGCGCGCTGAGCGCTGGCAGTCTTGACGGATCAATTATCATGGGGATTGCCATAACCATGCCTCAAAATTTTCTCTATGATAGTGGGTCCCTCTTCCACGGCTTCGTTATGCGCGCTGATCATTTGTGAATTTCCCAGTCCCCTATCTCCCCTTGGGAAAACGTTAGTCCATCCTGCGACTTCATCTTTGTTGCGACGAGTTCTCATAACGAACATAGTTCACCTCAACTCGTATCTAGCTTGGTAAGTCTGATCTCATTCCTTGACATAGATTCCACATTGAGGTCAATGATGACGAGTGTAGTTTGAACGCTCGAGAGGCCATTCGAGAGAGATTCCAAATGCAAGACCCGATTTTTATGGAATCCCAAATATTGGGACGAGGCCGGGCTCCCTCTATTGAATCGGTTGGTTATTCTAACATTCTTGCGGTTGACGCGTTGACATATCTCAAGTGTTATTACAGGGCGGGACTGATAGTGGCAGCGCTGGACCCACCGGTCTCCCTTCCTCAGTGGTTGGCCCAGAACATCGCCCCAGCTCCCTCTGAAACTCCCTCTCCCTTTCCGCTGTGTGACCAGACATTGTTTCTAGTAGCCTAGTAATTGTATCATTGTCATGATAGTGTAGGAAATATTGCATTGAATATCACGAGGCGGCTAAAGGCTCGCAGTCGGGAGTTTTTACTGAGTTTTTCCGCTACTCGCCACAGCTGGTGCCGGTGGTCGAACGGAATTATACACAGATACTCTCAGGTCTTCGCGGTGAGATAAAGCACATTGCACGAGTTCGAGTAAAGTTCGCGATATGATATTATCCGGTATCACCGAGGACCAGTGTTTAGGGCAGGCTGAACCGCGTCCAGACCTGCTACTGACCACATCCCAGCCACGCCACCTAACTTCGTTCGAGCTGCAAATAACCTTGCGAGTGATTGGAACAGATGTGAAACGGTCGTCGCGTACCTCGAGGCATCCTTCTTCTTCACTTTTGGCAAACCCACAGCCCTGGCCTCGTGGAAAAGAGAAAACGGCGGTCAAGTACTACGTATACTCTATGGCGGATTTGCATCGGATAAAGGAATCTCCGCGCGTCCGGGGGCCTTCTCCTGCCATCGAACGCGATCCAGATGACGCGCATGGCCACCCTCTGACGAATCTTTCGTAGGTACGCACTCTAGGTTGACAGAAAACAAGAACTGATCGGTCAGTCCAATACGTGGATGTGATACAGGTATTACCAATGCATAGTATACGTAGCTGCATTGAATTGGGAAGGTATTGTTGTCCTCTGGATTTCACAATGGAGAGTATCGATGAACCCATGAATTTTGACCGGGCTTGTTCGGAGAATCGAGGGGATGAACACCGGTTCTCGTCCAATTCCCTCGACATTTAACTGACTTCCTCCATTCGCGGTCGAGCTTCACCAACCCTTCTGACCCACTCTCGTCACAGTTAGGTATTATAATATCGAGAAATGTCCTCCTCGCTCTACCTCAGACTGGCGAATCTATTGGGACCTTTGCTCATCGGCGGACTAATCTCAACGACGTTCGTGGACTTTCAAAACTTTGCTCCTGGCTTTGCTTGTTCTTCTCACACCGAATGGTAGTCTCTATGGTGTTACCTGCGTCCAAACCTACACGTATTTTACTCAGAAGTCTCGAGATAGACCGGCCTATAAGGCAATTGTAAGTCATTCATCCAGCAAGGAATTCCAGTGAAGTGTTCTAAATCGGTTCAATGTTCTCAGGTTCTATTTCTCTTGTGGGTCTGACCAGCAATTCCTGATGCCCGATGATCTTACTTTCGGACTGGCTCCCTCAGCGGTTTGGACACCCTTGATTCTGTGCTTGTTGGTCACCTCTTGTACTATTGTCTGATCACTCATTCTTCTGATCGTGTCGCATTACTGGTTCCAACTTGGTATGTCTTCTCCCTTGGCTTAATCAACCCCTATCAACTGGTCCCACATTGGCGGCTTTTTTATCTATCTTTTCCCGTTCACAACATACAGGAGTTGTCTGGTAAGCCTCCCGTTCTCGTCAACGCCGAACTACTGACAAATATTCGCACTTTTTCCCTCGTTCATAGGCTCGTGCGATGGTCTCGGTGAGTACCTTGTTATGTTGAGGGAAAACATGGCTTAAAGTATCACTTATAGTAGTTCCTTTCCGACTTCATTATTCGGATGTGAGTCTTTTCACGGACTCAGTAGTAACAGGTGTTAATGCACCTGCATTCAGGATGTTTGCAATTCGCGTGTACAAATGTTAGTGTTACCGGAGTTCTCTCGTATCTCCACAAGTCATGCTGAGGGAGTATGCCAGTCAGTCAAAAGAATTTTATCCTAATTGGTTGGATTGTGCGTGATTATTTCTTGCTCAGATCGTACATATCTGAGAGGCTATCTAGATGACAGTGTCCCTAATCTCATTTGGTAAGCTGGGCCTGCTTCCTCGCGTGCTGATACTCACACCGAGATCCTTGCGTCAGTCTTCGGACTTTGTGCGTCATGGACTGTTTGTGCAATCTACGTCGTCACTGACCGACTGGATGAACAGCGCGATTCAGGGGTAGGTTGCAAAATTTCAAGCCTCTCGAGCTGTAGTTCGAGTAATTGTAGATTTAAAATCCACTCTTATGCGGTTCTTACATCCCCAGTAAGGCGTACACATCCTCTGCGGTCTTATTCATCTTCGAGTTTAGTCTTCTGTCGCCGTTTATGTGATCTTTGGAGCTAATGTAGTGGCCGACTTGAGCATCGCCATCTCGTTATGCTACCTCCTTCATAGATCTAGTAGTGGCTTTCGCAGGTAAGTTCCTTTAACTTGCTGTGTTGAGAGGTATTGATACGAGTTACAGAACGGATTTGCTAAACCGTCTCCTTATGATGTACACAGTGAATACTGGCGCCGTCGTCGCGTGAGTTAGAGTTGATCACCGCCCACAAGGTTACTGAACACTGACAGTCTCGATTCGACATTCATCGTGGCAACCTTCGTGACGATGCCCCAAAATCTGGTCTATGATAGTAGGTCTACCTTTTCCCGGTTTATTTATACGCGCTGAACGTTGATGATCTCCCAGTCGCCTATTTCGCTTTTGGAAAACGTTAGTTCACTCTGCAATTCAATCTATGCTGCGGCGAGTTCTCACACCAAAGATAGTTCACCTCAATTCATACTTAGCTTGGTAAGTCCGGTCTCACAACATAGATTTCGCATTGAAATTAACGACGGCATGTGTAGTTTGAATGCCCGAGAGGCCATCCAAGAGAGATTCCACATGCAAGACCCGATTTTACTGGAATCCCAATTGACACCAGGGTTATTTCGAGACCCACCGGTTCAATCAGTGGTTGGTCCGTCTGACCGTCGCGCCTCCCAATGAAGCACCTCCCCAGATGCAAATGCTTCAGAAATAATTTACGGTCCAACAATGTATCCTTGCCGATGTAGCTTAAGCCTTAAGTTGATAATCTAATCTTCACACCCTACCGTAAGGATCGTGGGAAGCAGTTTGGCTGGCTTCTTCTCGTTCCCCGCACTCATGGCCTCCGTGCTATGGCCCATCCCCCAATCATCAGTGCATCTACTGATCTACTGATGGCGAGCAGGGAAACACCGGAGCGAAAAGGGGTTTTCGGTCATCGAGCCGCCACCAGTCGGCATAAAAATACTGTGGACTCTTACTGAAGGCATCAGAGGTATGTCCCGAGTTCTTGCGCATATAAGGAAGTTTTGAGCATGTATCTTCAGGAAAGATCAGACATTGCCTTCCGTAAGATCCTTGACACTAAAGTTGACCGTTCAACCCTTATCTTGTCCCAGTGATGTTGCCGGAGAAACTATCCTTGTGGGTCATGCGGCAATTCTGCAGAGGCTTGGTACCCATTGACAAGATGTCTAGTTCCTGTCACAACCTGCGTTACCCCCGAGAAAGACTTCTTTGTGGTACCCTACTGTGATTGGGGCAGAATAGGCAGAAGTTCGGTCCAGAGTGGTCGTAATGTCATGGAGAAGCCATTCAATCTCGACATTTCTTGCCCCACATCATAGCTGGATCACTGACGAAGTCCTTGGCGAGAATTACTCCTCAGGTCTTCTTCACCGTACTCCCTCGGAAGGCTAGTCTGATCTTGCGATATGCACTCATTTTTGATGATTGGATGAAGCAAAATGAAACCTCGGAACGACGCTCGGTATGTATAGCTTTCCGATATGCGCCCTTTGGACGTCCTCGAAGAGACGATCTATTGATGCTCCATTTTTGCGGACCCAAGTCTCTGGATACGAGTTGCGCTGACATTTGTTCCGCTCAAAATGAAGTCTTCTGCTTTCGTTGTTGCTGCTCTCGTCACTCGTTCCCTCGCACACGGAGGTGTCACCTACGTATTAATGGTAAGTGCTGCTCTGCCACTCGTTGCACCCAGCTGGCAGCCGTACAACAGCACTGCCGGCCAATCTACCATCAAACACTCCGACAGTGCGTATTTCTTGGAGCATATACTGTATCTTACTTGGTTGGTCTTAACTTTCGCATCAGGTTCATACGACCCGTGTATGGGGACCTGCTGACGTCCTAAAGGCGCTGGTGGTAACATCTACCATCCCTCCTGCTCTGGCGGATGGTAAATACCTATTACTTTACTATCCGAAATGAACTTTTGGCTCTTCACCAGGCCAATACCCCCCAATTCTACCTGAGTGTATGCTTTTGGTATCCTTGGGATACCCAGAACGTTCGTCGCTAATACTTGTGATAGGCGCTCAACTCATCGTTACTGATACCACTGAAACAGCTAGCTGAAAGCTCAAACTGGTGTTCTGGTGTATTTGGGACGGAAATGGCGACACGAACAAATTGTTCTATCAATGTTTGTTCTAAGGGATGTCGATGCAAAAGGTTTATACACAAACCATACCATGAGTAGTATGAAACGGCCCAGGTTCGAACTGGGGAACTTTCTTGGTTTCTACTGTATGTGTTAAACAGATGCGACAACCAACTACGTCACTGTTCCGATTCCCACCACCTACTGTACCTATCCGGATGGAGGTGACGGATTGAGAGTCAGCCATTATTAGTACCACAGCAGATACGGTAGTGAGGTCTGATATATGAGGCCTGGGATCGAGTTACGGTCTCAAGTTAGTGCCCATAGGTATTGGGGACACAAGGCGTACCTGATATGTTGACGGGAAATCTGTTAGCACTCGATGAGGGTCCCAGTTCGAATCTGGGTTGTTCCGTTCCAATGAGATGCATTCGACTTTTTCCAAGGTAAGGCAACTTTTTCTGCCAATAGTTTGAGATTTTGGGCATATGGCTTACTCGGCAAGTCGACGAGAAATTCAATTATACTGTCAACTTGACGAGGTTCCCAGTTCGATTCTGGGTGTCACCATTGCGTCGCGGAGGATTTGAGCAGTTTTTATTTTTTTCGTGGCACAGTGAGTTTAGTGATGAGAAATTTGCAATGGAAATCCGAATTCGAAAGATGAGGCTCACTTTCAACAGTTGGACGTCAAAGTGGATCTTTGCCTCGGGGAAAAATGTTTCTCTTCCCATGGATTCCAATGGAAGTTAAATTATAACTGTAAGGTGCATCGACAAAATCAAAACATCGATCTTCCGCAAGTATGAAACAACCCAGATTCGAACTGGAGGCTTTCTGTCAAACAGGTTTACATAGACGCGACATCCAACTACGCTGTTGTTCCCTGGCGAGTTAGGGACCCTCTTCGCTACTATCATGATGCGCTCTTCATTCAGAACCATCCTTCCACCTTTGTTATTCATGGTATATATGGTGAACGAACCACATGTAGGTGGAGGGTACGCGGTCGTAGTAGCCTGATTTTTTTGAAATTAAATCGAAAGGAAGCACGGCGAGTGGATGATAAATTTGGATAGAAGGTGCCTACTCTCCGTCCACGTCACCTACAGGGTATAGAGCATATATACTGCAAGTACGTATGCAAGACAGGATCCATTGGATATACTGTGTACTGCAAACCGTATACGTTGATGTATCGAGATACCTGTGGGGTGATAAGAGAGTACTGGTGTGAGTAGGGGGTAGATTGGGTATTGTAGTTGACGAAAAGGGGGTAGTAGTATGAAGGTTGAAGCTTGAGTGTATCGCGGATGGAAGGGAAGAAGCAGGGAAGGAAGAGGTCGGAGATTGGGGAACGGACTTAACTTACTGTACTCGATAACCTCCCTCGGAGATGGAGGTCGAGGTCGAGTGAGATAAGGTATACTGTAACGGTAGGTCTGGAGTTAACGATCGTGATATGAGGGAGGGGGGAAACAAGCGCGCAGGTTAGCGTGTTAGCGCTCAAACCGGGTAGGGGGTTCAATGAGGTTATCGGACCCGATAGGACTGTCACGGGCCCGTGTATCTTTAGTCAAGTCCATAGAAAGATAAGGCCAATGTACATATGACAAGTTTCGAATAGAATCAAAAAGGAAGAAAGAAGAGACAAAAGGAAGGAAAAGAAAACATATGCCGGGAACTTACAGCAAGTTATGACGAATATGCCGGTATACCAATGTATAAGACGTTATGTCGATCTACACATGATGAGGTCCCATGGGTCCAAGATTTCGTTAGCGTTTTCGTGATGTACAGTACATACGTACTGTAAAGTGCCCGGATGACGGGACAGCACAGGACATCGGCCGTCATGGCGTCAATTACTTGGCCGATGGATGAGTGAGACGAACTAAAAATAACTTGGGTTAACTTTTGAAGTTATCGAAGAGTATACTCAGCATACTGTAAGTTAGATGAATCATGGATGGGTGGTGAATGTGACGGCCACTTGGCAGTGGAATGATCGCCGAGTCCGGTGACACTGCATCGTACGATTATGTACGATTGGACCAAAAATGTGGTCGCTTGGTGGGTGGCGCTATGGCAGATCTGTCGCCCGGAATTAGGTGGGTTGGGGTGAACCGAAGATGGCGAGCCGAAAGTATATGCATATACTGTAATCAGTGGGAACCTCGTCGAGTGATCATGCACGTGAGAGGTTGAGTTGGTTTCGATGGTGGCCAAGTTGCAATTGCATCGTGATCATGACGAGGCGTAGGATGACTTGGACTTATCTGCAGGGGTGGGGATAGCTAGCTTGCCGGCCGTGAGTATTCCGAAAGGTGCCTGCAAGAACAAGAGCGATCAGAATTCAGAATATAACTGGGGTAAACGTATTGAATCGTCTGCGTCAGTGCTTAACTTATGTATTGGATATTGATCGGGATCGGGATAAGGCGGTGGACACGACGAGGTGTGCCAGTGGCGGCCTTGATAATTGGAGGTTTGCCGTAGCTTTAGGTTCCACCCGTATGCACTCGGAAGAGGATGGCGGTGGAGAACATAAGCATAAATCACACAATGAAATAGAGAATTCGAACACAACTTCGAAGGTGTTTGGAATGAACGTGCGATTCCAACGTTCACGTAAAATGCATCGGGAGGCTGTGTTACTCCTGATGTCGTAAAATTAAGTCCACTTGACTGGAAATCGGCCGAATAGGATCAGTCTGATGGAGAAGTATCAGGTTATCCGAATTCTGAGTTGTCCGTTCGACTTCCCTGAATCAAAGCCATCCACAAAGCTTTGCAACTCGAGGCCCGTCGTGACAGTGAATCGCGTCCCGTTCTGGATTCATGAGGCCTAGGTAAATCATGTGAGATTAATCACAAAACGACATCGGAGTCGGAGGAGTTTTGGAATGACGTCCGAAGAACAAGGAAATGAGGGAAGACTTTACGTCGAAGCGCCTCGCCAGGACCAAAGTGGGTCACCATGCACTGCATCACCGGGACTGGCAGGCACGCCATTTTCCCCCCCTTATCAATGTTGATGCAATGTCCCAAAAATTGCTTATCACAGGAACATGTGTTGAGGGGGTTGGAGTGTCGACCATGTTGTACAGTATAGTACCTACGGTCATTGTGGAGAGAGACCTTATGCTGGCGGAGGGTTTGGCGCTTCGGGTAGAAGACAAGACGTCACAGTCAACGGGCGTGTGATGACGTGATGACGGTTGGAACCGGATATGGAAGGTGTGAGGCCGGAGCCGGCGTATCGTCGGGTAGGGTTTTTCGCTGTGTTCCCCTTCTATCTGCGCTCGTCCCACAACTGCAATATCGGTGCCAGCTCAGCACAAGAACTCGTCCGGCAGCCACGATGTCGACCGTTAGTGTAGCAGGTGAGATCGGAATTGATAACTCTAATTGTTTTTCTTTATTCGTTATGCGAATATTTTTATTTTATTTTTACTGTGATCGGGCATGGACCTCGAGGCATTTGGAGTGACGGAAGGTGGCAAAGCGTAGGGCGCTATCGGGATTTGCTCTCACTCCTCTCATCCACTTTCCCTTGCCACTGTGACTTTCTTGATCGTACTCGTCCTTTAATATTCTTCCCGCCTGGTCCTCAAGCTCTCTTTCACAAGGCATAGACGTATGGCCTCCTCTGACAGCGCCTCCATTGATGCTGGCCCATCGTCTAGTTCGCCGTCTTCATCCTCTTCAAGTGCTACCTCTTCCTCCTCTTCATCCTCTCAGAGCACCTCCACTAACTCGCCTACCTCTTCTTCTTCAGCTCCGTCATCAACCAGCTCGTCATCGTCAACATCGTCCTCATCCTCATCCTCGAGCTCTTCCAGCTCGTCTTCAAGCCCAACTTCATCTTCATCTTCAACTTTCGTGCCACCCCCACCCACAACTACACAACATGAACCAACTTCAAAACCGCCTTCGTCGATGGTGCTGACCGCACCGTCAACAAGTCTCGTACAATCGACAGCCGTGTAAGCACCCGCTATTTTTCTTTCACATTTCCTTCAATTTCCTATGGTTTTTCGTGCCACCTAATTCCCGGTTGATCGCGGGCGGACTCGCTCCGTCTTATCATGCGAGTTCCTTGTCTTCTTCTCTCAACCTCCGAGGACATCGCCACACGAGGCCCTTGGCAAAAGTCTTTGAACCTGCTTCATTCTGCACTTCGGTCCTCTACTACCGAAAACTCCAGGAACTTTGCATCACTTTCTTCATTCATCTTTTTACCGAGACACCATTCATCATCATGACATTCGCCCACTGCGTCGTCGTCGGCGGTTGTTTACCCTCGTCCCTTATCACTTTACACTTGGCTTTCACCACCGCTGGTGACATTCCCAAGGCAACTCTCACTGCGGGCTATGCTTGTGACCTTCTCCCAACGTGTTGGAATTCCATGCGGCCGATGATGACTATTTTTGGGGTCTCGGTCACATTCAACCTTGTTATCGGTTTCGTTCTCATCAATCATTATTTTTCTCTTCATATGACTCCTAAACCCTCTCTTGTTCGCTCACCAGTGCCTCAAGGCAACTGCGTGTTTGTGGCGCCGGTGCCCTGCATATACTGCGCATATATGCATGTGCATGTCCAAAGGGCTGACGCTGGGGTTTTTAGCGTCACTTCAGGTGTTCAGGGTTATATGAATTATGTTCCACTTCAATTGGAATTTCCCTTCCCCAAGACCCTGCTTTTACCCCACATTGCGCAATGTGGTTTCTCTAAACCCTGTTCCTGTCCGGAGGACCCTTCAGCCTCGTTTTTGTGTTCGATATTCCATTTGGGTTTTCTAGTTTCTCCGGCGTTTAACACGCATATATCCACCTCATGTCAAATGATTTCGTTATGCTAACCTCGGGTGTTTTCTTTTAGGATATCGTCGGATGGTCAAGTATTCACAACGGTGTTTACGTCGACGACGGTGTTGGCTGCCGGGAGTACCATTACCGCTGCCGCGGATGGCGTGGCGACTCCTAATGGTGGGAGTAGTAGTAACAATACCGGTGTGATTGCAGGCGCATCCGTCGCAGGTTCGTGTCTTTATCGCTATCTTATGTTCATCCCAGCCATCACCGGCTTCCCATCACTTCCGTTCTTCCCTCACCCACTCTCTACCCACCTTATCCACATCCTCTCCCTTTCATTGGTCCAGCTATTTTGGACTATTCATCTTATCATCCTCATTTCATTTCATTCACATGGACGAACTTCTCGTTCTATTCCCACTCAAATTCAAATCCTCATCCCCATCCTTCTCGATGTTCCATTATCCTTCGTACTTCGTCATTGACTAACGGTTGAATGGTTTATCACTATCTACAGGTGTAGTCGGTCTAGCCGCCCTCGGCCTCTTCACATGGTTTTACCTCCGTCGACGACGTCAAAAGTCGTTGGAAAAAATCTTTGATGGGAATTTCGATCCGGACCGGATTGTAACTTCGGGTGCGACCGGTGGTGCACTTGGCGTTGGAGGTGGAGGAGGTGGAACCCTACCTAGAATGCATGGCGTTGAAGGGGACGACGACGATGAAGATGACGGGATGAGTGGCCGGCTAGGCAATCCTGGTGCCGTTCCGGGTGTGGTCACACCATTCCGATACGAACCTCTCATGCATCCCGAGATGAGACAAGGTGGTGATGGTGGTTTAGGACCGGGGATGTTACTTGCTACTGGTGGACCGGTACTTCATGGCAAAGGAGGAGGGAGTTCCGCAGCAACGCCATTCCCACAACCGCAGGTTATGATGCAAAATCAAGCAGCGTCTGGACCTAGTTCATACGGAGGAGGAGCATATGGAGGGATGGCGTACACGGGTACGAGTACCGGGAGTTCTTCACCACCACCGCCGTCTAGGTATAGCATGAGTG